CCCAGGCGCCTAGAAAGCCTCTGGAGCCTGGGGAGGGTGATAAACAGTAAATTGTAAATTGTCTTCTACTAGTTGTTCTCAGCTACTTCATTTGGGATATAATCCATCCTTATCTAATCATGTTTGCTAACCTGGTTATGTGAGCAAGTCTCCACGACTATTTGGTTAGAACTACATTTGTTGGAACCAGAAGAAAGCGAACCTGGATGCTTTTGGGATAACTGCCAAGAGTAAGCTAAGCATTTCAGAGCAAACGGAGAAGGGTCACTTCTACCTGTGGATTCATTTGACGCAGTGAGATTTACCTCGGTACTTAAAGAGAACGCTTAATGAAAAAGGAAAAAAACCTACAAGGATACAAAGATGTGTTTTTGGGTCGGTGTGTGCATATGTGTCAGTCTGTATACATACACACAGAAAGAGAGGCATACACATAAACATACATACAGTATATATATATATATGTATGTATGTATGTATGTATGTATGTATGTATGTATGAATACAGAGACAGAGAGAAGGAAGGAAGGAAGGAAAAGGAGGGAGAAGAGAAAGAGGAAGTGAGGGAGGAAGAAAGGGAAGGAGGGAGGCAGGAAGGAAGTTAGGAGGAAGGAAGAGAAGGAGGGAGGAGAGAAAGAGGAAAGGAGGGAAGAGAGGAAAGGAAGAAGAAGAGGAAGGAAGGAAGGAAAGGAAGGAAGGAAGGAAAAGGAAGGGGAAGAGAAAGAAGAAGGGAGGGAGGCAGGAAGAAAGGGAAGGAGGGGAAGTTAGGAGGAAGGAAGAAAAGGAGGGAGGAGAGAAAGGAAAGGAGGGAAAGAGGAAAGGAAGAAAAAGAGGAAGGAAGGAAAAGGAGCGAGAAGAGAAAGAGGAAGGGAGGGAGGGAGGAAAGGAGGGAGGAAAAGGAGGGAGAAGGGAAAGAGGGAGAAAGAGGAAGGGAGGGAGGGAGAAAGGGAAGGAGGGAGGAGGAAGAGGAGGGAGGAGGGAAGAGGAGGAAGGAAGAGAAGGAGGGAGGAGAGAAAGGAAAGGAGGGAGAGAGGAAAGGAAGAAAAAGAGGAAGGAAGGAAAAGGAGCGAGAAGAGAAAGAGGAAGGGAGGGAGGGAGGAAAGGAGGGAGGAAAAGGGGAGAAGAGAAAGAGGGAGAAAGAGAAAGGGGGGAGAAAAGGGAAGGAGGGAGGAGGGAAGAGGAGGGAGGAGGGAAGAGGAGGGAGGAAGAGAAGGAGGGAGGAGAGAAAGAGGACAGAAAGGAGGGATGAAAGGAAGAAGAGAAAGGAAAGAAGGAAGAAAGGGAAGGAGGGAGGACAGGAAAGAAAGGAAGGATGGGAGCGAGGAAGGAAGGAAGGGAACAGAAAACGGAAGATACAAATATATTTTTCAAAGGGGCTGACATGTACAAATACTACAAACGAAGGGATGCCTAGCATAGATTTAATGGCACATGGCAGCCCTGACATTTGACTACAACAGTTTTTTTTTCCATTCTGCAAGAGAAATTACTTTGACCTAATAAACTGACTCTTTATTCTGATGGTACATTCACAGATGGCTCACCACCTCAAATTTTCCTTTTTTCCCCCTGCCTCATTCTTTTAGAAACGAGTTAGAATGTGAAATGTTAACTATTTGGCTTCCACACAACATATCTAATTTTTGAATATCTATTTCCCTTCTCATAATTTTATAATAACCCAAAGGCTGAGAAATTTGTTGTATTTTTAGAGCTTCTAAGTCCGTGATGGCGAACCTGTGGCATGTGTGCCACAGGTGGCACGCGGAGCCATATTGGTGGGCACACGAGCGTTGCCCTAGCTCAGCTCCAGCACATATGCATGCACTGGCTAGCTGATTTTCGGGCCTTCTGGGTCCACCAAAAGTTGGCAAACGGGCTGTTTCCGGCCTCCGGTGGGGTGGGGAGGGCTGTTTTTGCCCTTCCCAGTCTCCTAGAAAGCCTCTGGAGCCTGGGGAGGGCGAAAAACGGGCCTACCGGGTCCACCGTGCCATCAGATGCCAAAAGTGGGAGGAGCATGGGGGGGGTGGGTGGGCACGCGCGGGGGGGGCAGGACACATAGAATTATCGGTGTGGCCACGCACACATGCGACCACCCCGCACTCCCCCGCTTTTGGCACGCGATGGCAAAAAGGTTAGCCATCACTGTTCTAAGTCTTGACACCCCCCCCCCAGGCTCTCCAAATTAAGTATCACTGTCCTGCTTGATCCTTGCTGATGTTGTTATAAGAGCAATCAGAAAAATACAGCTGCTCTTTTCACAATTTGCTTCGCCTTCATCAAAATTTTGGACTTCACTCTGTCAAGCTTACAGAGAAATTAAAAAGTGCTGAAAATAACATTACTGACAAAATTTGGAAGATTTTTCAAATTCCTGCTTATTAAATTAAGAATTGAATCCCTGGACACTGAATTCCTGAATCCTGAGAAACAGGATTCCTTAATTCTATTTCCCATCATTATTACTGGAGTGTAACAAGCCTGAACAATGTAGTTGTCATACGTGCAAAAAATGGAAAGATACATCAATTCTCACAGTGGAAGGATGGATGGATGGAAAAAGTGATGGAGTTGGCAAAATTAACCATTTTAATGAAAGAAAAGAATGTATTCAGTTTTGTATCTAGTTGGGAACTGCTTCTGGAGTTTCTGCTCAAAACAAAACAAAGCAAAAATGAAATTTTTGACTTGGGGTTTTGCCAATTAGGTTAGTTTGCTGTTATGCAAATGAATTCAATAAATATATGAAAGTAAAAAGCCAAAGGTTGTCACTTTATTTTGCATTTTACTGCGTCAAAAATGTTGGAAGTCATTGCTTTCTTCCCCTTTCCCCCTTCCCCGTTTCCCCATTATCTTTATTTTATTTGTATTTTATATTATGACAAATGACAATAAACATTTAAAAAAAGCAAAAGTACAATAGTCAAAATAGCTGAAAAATTAATTCTGACCTCAGAGCATTTCATTCCCAGAAAACAACTTTGCTTGGAATCATCTGCATATTTCTGGCAGTTCTAAAGCTTGGAGTGACCCTAAATTACCAGCATTTGCTGAGAACGCTGTTCAAAAGGGAGCATATAAACACTACAATAAAAATAATAGCCCAGGCTTAATAAATTGTCGATAAGATAGGCAAAAGACTCTGAATAGTGGATGTGGCAGTACCTGGAGACAGCAGAAGAGAAGAGAAAGAATTCGAGAAGATAATAAAATTCAAAGACCTGCAAATAGAAATAGGACGACTGTGGCAAAAGCAAGCCAAGGAAGGACCAATAGTAAAAGGGGCCTTGGGTGAAACCCCAAAACATCTGGAGCACCACAACATTGACAAATTCACCATCAGTCAACTTCAAAAGGTGGCTTTTACTCAGAACAGCTTCTTCTTCAACTGATTGCTTTATTCAAACAGGACAATATATTTAATTATGTTTTTCATTTGGATATCACTTCTGGATTTTGTGCTTGTGATGGAAAAAAAAAATAAAACTTTGTCTTTAGTTTTGCCGATTTGATAGATCCGTTGTTATAGAAATGGTGAGTTATGTACTAATGTGTAAAAGTAGTAAGTTGAGGTGGGAATGTTATCTTGTACTGTGCTAAAAAGAGTTGGAAGTCAACTCTTTTTTCTTCTTTCCCTTGTACCTCATATTTTCTTTCCCCCTCTCTTTTTCCTTCCCTTAATTTCCTACTTTCATTTTTCTGTGTATTTTATATATTGATAAAACAATTAATGTTGTGAATGCAAGAACAGCTTCTTCTTCTTCTTCTTCCATATCTAGATCAAACTTTAAACTGCCAGAATGAAGCTACCTTCTTGGCTTTGTCACTGGCCAAAAATAAATCATCATTGGTACATGTTTCTGGTAGTAGTTGAGATACCAGTAGATGGGCTGGGCTTCGTGTCTCTCAGAACAGTTTCCATCCTGTGATGTTATCTGTAACACCTTCAAACATCTGCATCTGCCTGTCCTAAGTCCTTGGGAAGAACTCAACAGGCAGGCAAAAATGCCAAATCCAGTTTGAACAACATCTAGCTGACTGTGCAACAAACAACAACAACAACAACAACAACAACAACAATAATAATCGCGACCTGGCCATCGAAACTACATGGCTATGGATGTGTTGTGGCTCCGTTGCCTGAGCCTGAGTGAGGGAGAAGAGTTGGCAAGGCCTCCCTCTCCAGGACCCTTCTCTCTGGCAATGCCTCCGGAGGACACCGAAGGCCAAAAGATAGGCTCAGAGCCAAGCACATCCCTGCATCCACAGGTGGACAGCGATGAAGAAGATAAGTGCTGGCTGGACCCGCGACAGAGGCGCAGGGAGAAGCGTGCACAGCAGAAGGGAAGGCGTGCCAGAGATTAGCTGAGTCACTGGACCACCCCCCACAGGGTATAAATGTGGGTGTGGTGGCTGGTTCAGTTTGTGACGAGCAAAAACTGGAAATACTCCATGATCTCTGCGTTACTGGACTTTGCCTGCTTTATCGGACTGCATTTGGACTAATCCTTGTATTATTGACACTCTGCCTGTTTTATCGGAATGCTGCAGTCCAATCTTTGTTTTGTGTGAGTAAAGTCTGAATTGGCAGCTAGCCACTGGGTTGCTGCCAGCTTTATTATCAAAGAGTTTTGTCGTGTGGCTTATTAACTCCGGGCCGTCTGTGGGGATGTGTGCGTGGTACGGGGACAGAACAGGATGAAACATGTAACAGTGATACCCATTGTCATCGGGGCACTTGGTACCATGTCCAAGAATTTTATAAGATACATCAGCGAATTGCAGCTTCCTGCAATAACACTAACAGAATTGCAAAAAACTGTGCTACTCGGAACATCGTACATCTTAAGAAGGTACTTGGTTGATACCTAGGGGTCTGGCAGCAACCCGTATCAACCATTAGCACCAGTCAATGGCATTTGTGATGCATTTTTGAATGTTCAGTTGACTGAGTTTTCAATGAATAAAAACAATAATAATAGGAGGAGGTCAGGACTTACCATGTATCCTGGTCCACAGGTGCATTTCCCTGTGATGCTGTCACAATCTGCTCCATTTTGACAATGGCAAACAAGGCGACAACTTTCACCGTAGAACCCTGGCGCACACGTTTCGTTGCAGTAAAGGCCTGCCCAACCAGCTTTGCAATTGCATTCGCCAGACAGAGGATGGCAACTGTCAAAAAAAAGAGAGATCCGGGATTAATCAGCTATTCCGCCAGGAAGAAAAGCAACCCCAGCAGGTCCTCGGAAGCCAACATCTGACCCAATTAAATGTCGCACAGGGTTTACAAACGTTCCAGCTAAAGAAACGTGCAATCTGTCAGAAATAAGAAGACGGCCGGTGTTTCTGTGGCACCAAAAGCTCATGAGAAAAATTAACCAGGAGCTGGGAGTGAGACAGGCTTCTTGTGAAGAAGAGCCTTGGTGGCGCAGCGGACTAAAGTGCTGTTAATTAGCACTTAGCTGCCAGCTGCCTGCAATTACTGCGAGTTCAAATCTCACCAGGCTCAAGGTTGACTCAGCCTTCCATCCTTCCAAGGTAGGTAAAATGAGGACCCGGATTGTGGGGGCAATATTTATTTATTTATTTATTTATTTATTTATTTATTTGTTTGTTTGTTTGTTTAATTTATATTTATATTTATATTAATTTAATTTATAAGCTGACTTTGTATAAAAAAGAACACCGCTTGGGGGGGGGCCCAAAAAGCCCTACTAAGCAGGTACATATAAAAGTATGAAGGCTATTGCTTAACGTATTGTAAGCCGCCCTGAGTCTCCGGAGAAGGGCGGCATATAAATTGAACCAATAAAATAAATAAATAAAATAAGGAAGAACATCACCATGCTGAGTGGATAGGAAGGGCAATGAAGAGAAATCTGCAAAGAACCCAGAATCAGAATAAATAGTTTGGTCCAATGTCGGTGGAGAAAGATTCAGGAAGAAAAGTCTATGGGATCATGGTTATTTGTCCAAAAATCCTGGAGATAGGATGCTGGGATTAATTATAAGGAAACCAAGTCTCTTTGTGGTCCACCTCTAGGACCCAAAGCATTGTTTTGGACAGAGAAGGCTTCCCCTACTTGGTATGAGCAACATCTGGCAAGATCGTATTTGGACTTTTTGGGGGGTCTCGAAGCTTGTGGTTTGGAGCAGCAACAATTGTTATGACTTTGGCACGATTTAAAAGGGTTGTGGAATGCACAACAGACTCCTCTGGGCCACCTGTAGTCTCTGGGAAGTCTGTATGTACAAAAAAAGAGCAGGACTTCGATTGTGTTGTTATGGTCACTACCTTGACACTGTTGACTTCACCCTTAGGCCTGTAATATTTTCTGGGAACATCTTCTGAAGAGCTCACACAAAGATTCCTCCTAGCCATATTCAAGGAATAACAGAATAATGGAGTTGGAAGGGACCTTGGAGGTCTTCTAGTCCAACCCCTTGCTCAAGCGGAAGAGCCTCAGATAAGTGGCTGTCCAGTCTCTTCTTAAAAGCCTCCGGTGATGGAGCATCCACAACTTCTGAAAGCAAGTTATGCCACTGGTAGATTGTTCTCTGTCAGGAAATTTCTCCTTGGTTCTAGGTTGTTTCTCTCCTTGATCAGTTTCCATCCATTGTTTCTTGTCTTGCCTTCTGGTGCTTTGGAAAATAGGTGGACCCCCTCTTCTTTATGGCAGCCCCTCAGATATTGGAAGGCTGCTATCATGTCACCCCTAGTTCTACTTTTCACTAGAGCAGGCAAACCCAATTCCTGCAACCGTTCGTCATATGTTTTAGCCTCCAGTCTAATCATCTTTGTTTCTGCACTTTCCAGAGCCTCAACATATTTTTATAACATGGTGACCAAAACCACATGCAATATTCTAAGTGTGGTCTTAATAAGGCTTTATAAAGCGGTACTACTTGCAATGCGCTTTACATGGGGCTACCCTTGAAAAGTGTTTGGAGACTACAGTTGGTCCAGAACGCAGCCGTGTGAGCTGTCGTGGGTGCACCTAGGTACACCCACATTACACCAATTCTCCGCGAGCTGCACTATTGGTCTCCGGGCACAATTCAAGGTGTTGGTTATTACCTTTAAAGCCCTACATGGCTCAGGGCCAGGGTATCTTTGAGACCGCCTTCTGCCGCATAGCTCCCAGCGACCGGTAAGATCCCACAGAGTTGGTCTCCTCCGGGTCCCGTCAGCTAAACAATGCCGGCTGGTGGGCCCACGGGGGAGGGCCTTCTCTGTGGCTGCCCCAGCTCTCTGGAACCAGTTACCTCCTGAGGTCCAGACCACCCCCACCCTACTGGTCTTCCGAAAAGTGGTGAAGACCTGGCTTTTCCGGCAGGCCTGGGGCCGTTGATCTCGCTCTTGCGATCTGATGAGATCCGGCCATGAATGGCGTGAATGGGTTTTAATGTTTTTAATGTTTTTAATTTTTAAGTGTTTTTACAGTGATTTTTTGAGTGTATTGTGAGCCGCCCTGGGTCTTTGGAGAGGGGTGGCATATAAATTGATTGATTGATTGATTGATTGAATGAATGAATGAATGAATGAATGAATGAATGAATAAATAAATAAATAAATAAATACTAATATTTCATGTGATCTTGATGCTATCCCTCTGTTAATGCAGCCTAGGATTGCATTGGCTTTACTTTGGAAATGCAAGCCAGAATTATAAAGTCCCCAGGAAAAGTTTTACTTGGCTGGCCTAGTTTCTACCCCCACACCCCCTACTTAAGCTATCAACGGAAGAGCTAGCACATAATGTTGTGCCTAAAAATTACCAAGTTCTGTAGCTGTCTCATGCTTCCTCGAGTAACTAATTAAAACAATTAATCAGCTTAATAAAAAAAAATAAGAAAAGTTTCCAACTGACATACTCTTTGAATTATATGTTCCTCGGTTCACACCTCTTAACATTTAGATGAAAACTCATAAAAACAGCCAGTGCCTCCTCCCACCTCCGCTTCTATTAATCTCCGTGGAATGAAAACAGAAAATGAAAAAGGCAAAGTAATAGTTTAGTTTCTCTGGTTTTGCGTTTCTTCCTTGTGGCACATACAACGCTACGTTTTCAAGCAACTTGGCTCTGCAATAGCTAAATTAAATCTTTCAAAAGTAATAGATGTTTCTTGCAGTCAGAATCCGTATATTACAATTCAACCAAACACCACTTCACCTAGTAAGCATTTCTCCTGCAAGGCGGACCCTTTCATCAGAATATAAAAGGTTAGGCCTTTTAAAAACAAATTACCAACATGAAATACGGCTATTTTATGAGTGGCACAAAGTTTTATTCCCCTAAATAATAAGCATGCAAGAGACAAACAGCAAGAAGAACAGAATTAAGAGCCAATACGCCATTCAGGAAAAGCTAAAGGGTATTTTTTAATCTCACTCTCTCTGTCTCTTAAAATCTATATTTCTGGCCTTCGGTAATATTCTGTCTCAGCTCATATCTCCTGACTCTGAATCTTATCCTTCTCTGTGCAAATTCCACTTATGAGATTCACTGAGGAAAGTGAAATTGATTCAAAACAAGTTGTGTCTCCCTCGGTCTCTATTTTTCTTTTTAATTCAGCTCCAGCAAAGCATCCACTCCTGATACAAGGTTAACTACTAAGACTGCATTACTATTCTTCTTCTCATCCTTACTACTACCTATCTCTTCCCGTTTGTGGCTACATCCATGTTGCTTGTATCTTTACAACTTATATTGCTTTTATATTGTTTCCTAGTATGATTTGATTGCTTATTAGTATCCTATGACTATCACTAAGTGTTGTATCTTATGATTCTCGATGAATGTATTTTATTTATTTTTTCTTTATTTACACTGAGAGTATATGCACCAAAGACAAATTCCTTGTGTGTCCAATCACACTTGGCCAATAAAGAATTGAATTCTATTCTATTCTATTCTATTCTATTCCATTCCATTCCATTCCATTCCATTCCATTCCATTCCATTCCATCTTAGGGGTCGACTGAAGACTTTAGCTTGGAATTAATCTAAGTAGAAACTCGTTACTCATTGATAATTGGTTCTGGGAGGCACGATGAGTACCAAACAATTTTTTCCCATAAGGAATACTGTAGTAAGTCACAATGCAGTCGACAAGTTCTAGCTTGAGTGTCGGGTACCAAACAACGAGTAATGGGACAAGATTTTCGTGTCAAAATGCATTGAGTACAGGTTGTCCTTCGACTTATGACCACAATTGAGCCCAACATTTATGTTGCTAAGCGAGACATTTGTTAAGTGAACTGCGCTCCATTTCACAACCTTTTTTGCCACCGTTGTTAAGTGAGTCCCTGCAGTGGTTAAGTTAGTAACACGGTTGTTAAGTGAATCTGGCTTCCCCACTGACTTTGCTTGTCAAAAGGTCGCAAAAGGGACAGTGCAACCGTCATAAATATGAATGAGATGCCAAGCCTCTGAATTTTGATCACGTGACCATGGGGATGCTGCAAAGGTCATAAGTGTGAAAAATGGTCATAAATCACTTTTTTCAGTGCTGTTGTAACTTCGAACAGTCACAAAAAGAACTGTTGTAAGTCAAGGACTACCGGTACCAAATTCGATGAGTTTCAAAGCAGTTGAATACCAAGGTACACACTGTACAAGAAATCGGATCCAATTTTGGTCACTGTTATTATGTGCCTTGCCTATGATGATTAACAGAATAATTGAGTTGGAAGGGACCTTATAGGTCATCTAGTCCAACCCCCCGCTCAAGCAGGAGACCCTACACCATTTCTGACAAATGATAATGCCACGGTTAGACTGGAACCCAAATCCTTACAGACAGATGTCCTTTGAGAAGGTCACAGGTCCTTCATCTTTTGGTACCTCCTTGTCTTGAAACTTAACGAGCTGAAGCAGAGTTCCTTGGAAAGTTAAACCCTGAAATGCCAAGACAAGGCATGAAAAATACATCTATGGATCCATGGCTGCCACTGTCTCTTCTGTCCCCCGAGGACCAAGATAAGGCTGAGCGGAATGACAGATTTTATCAGTTGAGTGACTAGACTCATTTATTAAGAGCTGCAGATACCATCTGGAGACAAGACTGTTTCAAGGCAAGAAAGCAGGTACAAACAGATAGGAAGTTCAAAAGAAGCGAGCCGTGAATAGAAATCTGGCTAGATCTGAAGCATACAATGCAAATATTATACTGGGGGAATAAATGCTAAGAAGGTCGTTTATTCCTATATCAAATTTGAAAGCCCTACCTAGCCTTCGTTAAGAATGCAATCCAAACTTCAGGTTTTCTTAACGGATGCAACAATTCATGAAATGAGGGTAGGGAAACTCTGTTATCCCTTAAGTACACCAGGCAAACTGTCAAGAAAGGCATGGCTGGCGAAAACCTCTGGAAAGGTTTTAGAAACAACTGAACGGAAAACTGACCTTCTACCACTGTATTTTAACTTACTGCACCTGTGTATGGTTTGCCAATTGCACAGTGGCAGATAGGACAGCGCTCCAGAGGGTTAACGTCATTGCCCAGAGGATCATTGGCTGCCCTCTTCCCTCTTTGGAAGAGCTTTATAGCTCCCGCTGCCTTAAGAAAGTTCAAAACATTCTTAAAAATCCATCTCATCCTGAATCTCACTCTTTTTTTTTTTTTGAACTATTACCATCTGGCAGACGGTACAGGATAATAAAAACAAGGACAAATAGGCTGAAAAACAGCTTCTATCCCAGGGCAGTAACCATATTGAATTCTATGGTATGGTGCAATATCGGGTTTTCAATTTCAATTATATAGAATGTAAGGGATGTATGTTTTTATTTTTATAGTTATAATGTACACTGAAGCGTGCGCGCTCCCATTGCAAACCGGTAGTAAAGGTAAGTAGAACCCACCCCTGCTACGGAGGAATTTCCTGACACTGGGAACAATTAATAAGTGGAACGGCTTGTCTCCAAAATTTGTGGGTGCTCCATCACTGGAGGCTTTTAAGAAGAGACTGGACAGCCACTTGTCCAGAATGGTATAGAGCAGTGATGGTGAACCTTTTCAACACTGAGTGCCAAAAAGGGAGTGTGTGCACCTGGGCCACAACCCAGAAGAGGAGCTGCCCAGGGCTCATGCGTGCGCCCAAAAATGAACTTCTGGTTTTAGCTACTGAACTTCCGGTTTCAACCAGCTGCTCTTCCGGGTTTCTGGCATGCATGCACACATGACAATCAGCTGGCCGGCGCGCATGCTCACACAGGAAAATGGAAGACCAGCTAATCTAGTTTCCGGCACTGCCACGTGCAAAAAGGCCAACTGATTGTCACGCGCCAGAAACCCAGAAGAGGAACGGATGACGCCATGCGTGCCAGGTGACATGGCTCCGTGTGCCACTTTGGGCACGCGTGCCATAGGTTTGCCATCATGGGTATAGAGTCTTCTGCTTGAGCAGAGGGTTGGACTAGAAGACCTCCATGGTTCTTTCCAACTCTGTTATTCTGAATTCTGTCCGTAATGCAGAGAATTTTATATGCTGCTTCCTGGGACCAGTATTCAAGATACTGGTTAGTATATAAAGCCTGGGACATCTGAAGTAATTATCTTTTGGACTGCTATTCCAATAGAGACTGCTGATCTTACTTGCTTAGATCTTCAAGAAGGCATATTGTAGGTCCCTCCATGAATATATTCTACACGGATAGATTTCCCCTTTCCCCTTTGCAGCGACTACATAATGAAACGATTTTCCCACTGAAGTTGAGCTTGGCTCTTCGTTAAAGAACAGTCTGAAAACCTGTCCTTTTTATCCAGGCTTTTTCAGTCGAGAGGGTTCCTTTTACCTGTTAGTTTGAATCATTTTAATTGTTATATTGGATTTTAGTTTGAACGCAAATTCTCTCGGTTGCTTTGAGCTACGAAACGAGAGTGAGGCAGTGCGTACTTTTTCTTACATGAATGAACACAATGAGAGCGCAAAAATCAGTTTTATCAAGTGAAGCTACAGTAAATGGACACAAAGGCTCATGTCCCTAAAAATAAAGTTGAGATTATGAAGATAAGCAGTTCATAGCATCAGGATGTGTGGCAGAGGTTGGCTCCTTCGAAATGAACATGCATCTAACAGTTGTTAAGACTTCTCCAACAGAAAATTAGCATGCATAAGTGCAAAACTGAGAGGGAGAAATGTGTCATTGAAGAACTGGGATTATTTTTCTACTAACGCCCTTTCCTTCTTTCCTTTCCTTTCCTTTCCTTTCCTTTCCTTTCCTTTCCTTTCCTTTCCTTTCCTTTCCTTTCCTTCTTCCTTTTTTCCCCTTTCCTTCATCTCTTTTTTCTTTCCTTCCTTTCCTTCTTCCTTTTTTCCCTTTCCTTTATCTCTTTTTCCTTTCCTTTCCTTCCCTTCCCTTCTTCCTTTTTCCCTTTCCTTCATCTCTTTTTCCTTTCCTTTCCTTTCCTTTCCTTTCCTTCTTCCTTTTTCCCCTTTCCTTCATCTCTTTTTCCTTTCCTTCCTTTCCTTCTTCCTTTTTCCCCTTTCCTTCATCTTTTTCCTTTCCTTTCCTTTCTTTCTTTTTCCTTTCCTTTCCTTCCCTTCCCTTCTTCCTTTTTCCCTTCCCTTCATCTCTTTTTCCTTTCCTTTCCTTTCCCTTCTTCCTTTTTTCCCTTCCCTTCATCTATTTTTCCTTCTTTCCTTTCCTTTCCTTTCCTTTCCTTTCCTTTCCTTCCCCTTCCCCTTCCCCTTCTTCCTTTTTTCCCTTCCCTTCATCTCTTTTTCCTTTCCTTTCCTTTCCTTTCCTTTCCTTTCCCTTCTTCCTTTTTTTCCTTTCCTTTCCTTTCCTTCCCTTCCCTTTCCTAGCTAACCTCTCTGATGGAGAAAGCTTATTGCCTGTGTCAGATGATCAGGCTTTAGCAAAAGAGCTTGATTTTATTTGATTTGTGGAGTCAAAGGCATATAACTAAGGCACCAATCATACCACCATCTTAAAGGGAATTTCAACTCTATAATCTTTGAGACAGGAGCTTAATTCCAAACAGAGTTTGAGTGATTTCTGTTAAAACTTCTACCTTGCTGTTTGTCTCCTGGTTGAAAGGGGTCACTTTGGAATGTAAATCTGGAATGGCAGAAAAGGTCAGATAAATTATAAATGCTTGTCTGAATTGGGGTTGAGAGAGTCGAGCTATTCTGAAATAATCAAATATGGCAGAAATGGAAAAGAGGCTCAACACAAGAATGATCACTTGCAGAAGATCGGAAAGAGTTCACCAACTTTTATGAATGTACAAAACTGCCTAGTGCAAAGTAAAAGAACAACAACAAAGCTCCGTTGAGCTCAGACATCCATCAGATGTCGAGAATGCCAGTCTGTTGAAATCCCCCTCTACCTGTTGACCAGGTGGTGCATCCATTTCAATGCAGATCATCTGATGTGGAAAAGAAATGAGATGAAGCCAAGGGTCAAAGTCAAAAAACCCATCATGGACTGATTTGCATTTACCGTGAGCTTTCTCAGTCAGAGAAAAGAAAGGTAAGCAAGCAGGAAAAGAGAAAGTTCCCAGAGAGATAGGATAGGAAGGGACCATTGAGGTCTTCTTCTCCAGCCCCCATACGCAGTGTGAAAATCCTCAGGCCATCCCAGACAAATGGCTGTCTTTGTCTTGAAAATGATGGAGCCCCCACCTCTCCAAGAAGAAGGTTGGACAAGAGTCCAGAAGGTTCAGGGTACCTGAAGAGATGCTGAATCATCAGAAGGTTCACCCTCTGTCGATCCTTCACCCAGTGATTCTTGTTCTGCCCTTAGACTCTACAGAGAATAAATCCACACCCTTTTTTCTGTAACAGCTGTAACAGCTCTACTGCAAGGGAGGATTTCTCAGAAGAAGCATGTGGGGGGGGGCAGATTCTGAAAGAGGGAGGGAGGAAGGGAGGAAGGGAGAGGAACAAGGAAAGAAGGCAGGAGGGAGGGAGGGAAGGAAGGAAGGAAGGAAAGATAGAGGGGAGGAAGGAAGGGAGAAGAGGAAGGAAGGAAGGGAGAAGAGGAAGGAAAGAAGAAAGGAGGGAGGGAGAGAAGGAAGGAAGGAAGGAAGGAAGGAAGGAAGGAAGGAAGGAAGGAAGGAAGGAAGGAAGGCGGCCATGTTTGAAGACCTCTGCTACATCTTCCCCTTTTGCAGAAGTACCAAACACCTACCTGACTGTGTTAGTAGCATGACACGGACACTGTTTGTTGCATTTCAGCCCGTAGTATCCCTCGGGACAGATCCGCTCCTGACAATGGATGCCCTTAAAGCCCGGATCACACAGGCACGCTCCGTTGACGTGGTAGCACTTGGCTCTGTTCTCGCAGTTGCACTTCTCCATACACTGGAAGCCAAAGGTCCCCACCGGACACTCCTCCTGACACCTACGAAGAAACATCAGGGACTCAGGATCAGGTAGTCACTCTGGAGGACGACTGATTGATTGATTGATTGAATTCATATTAGCGCCTATTCGCACATGGAGACTCAAGGCGCTTTACAGAATATAAAACCTCATATAAATACAATAAAGCTAATAAAAGAAGAGTCATATAAGAAATTAATATACTAAAATCACCCCACCCACCCCGCTCTGGCGACATCACATCACACGAGCCACTGAATGGACTCCATCCCGCTCTGCGTTTCCCAGGCCCGCTGGCAGACCCAGGTCTTCAGCGCCTTCCGGAAGAATGTCAGAAGGGGGGAGCATTCTAATCTCTGGGGGGATGATGTTCCATGGGGAAGGCCCTTCTTCTGGGTCCCACCAGGTATATCTCCAGTGGTGAAATTCAATTTTTTTTACTACCGGTTTTGTGGACGTGGCTTGGTGGGCGTGGCTTGGTAGGCATGGATACTGCAAAATCTCCATTCCCACCCCACTCTAAGTGAAGGATACTGCAAAATCCACATTCCCTCCCCACTCTGGGATCAGCCAGAGGTGGCATTTGCCGGTTCTCCGAACTACTCAAAATTTCCGCTACCGGTTCTCCAGAACCTGTCCGAGCCTGCTGGATTTCACCCCCTAAGGCAGTGATGGCAAACCTTTTAGACACCGAGTCCCCAAACTGTGTGTGCATGCCCAAACGGAAAGGTGCACACGTGCGTGCCAATGTGCGGACATTCACGCGCATGCACAGACATGCGTGCATGTGCAGCAGAGACCCGAAGACCAACTGGCCGGCAGGAGGCGGGGCATCCCAACACCGGCAGCATGGCAAGAGATAAGATCTTTTTCTTTCGTGAGCTTCTGTTTCGTCATTTGCAGGGAAACCGATGCTCACGAAAGTAACGCCACAGAGATCTGACTTGGGGCGACGGTGCGCGTGCCAGAGCTCTGCATCAGGGGTGGGTTCTACTTACCTTTACTACCGGTTCGCAATGGGATCGTGCATGTGCAGATTGCCGTTGACAACATCCGGGGCAGTGGATGGGGCTTCCTGCCAGTTTTACTACCAGTTCTTACAAACCGGTCTGAACCGGGGGCAACCCACCACTACTCTGCACGCCACCTCTGGCACATGTGCTATAGGTTTGCCATAACGGCCCTAGGGACCCGCAACATTCCTATCCTCCTCACTCTGGTGGGGTCAGATACATGTGACCAGCATAAGATGGTCCCTCAGATCACCTGGTCCCAAGCCATGAAGGGCTTTAAAGATGACAACCAGCACCTTGAATTGCACCCAGAAACAAATCAGCAGCCAGCGCAGCTCCCGCAGGAGAGGTGATACATATGCACACTGAGGTCTGCACAAAACCATGCGGGCCACTGCATTTTGCACCCACTGAAGCTTCCAGATGTTCTTTAAGGGCAACCCCATGTAGAGCGCGTCGCAATAGTTAAGATGGGAAGTGACTAAGGCATGAGTGACTGTGAGTAGGGATTGTTGGTCCAGGACTTGCAAAAGACTTCCAAGTCTGGGCTGGTAGAATATCCATGACTCTGTAGTCAGGGGGTGTCCAGAGGAGGGGAGGTCCACCCATTTTTAAATGGTCAAGGTTGAGAAACACGGGGCTAAACCAGACATCAATCAGAAGCCACGAGAGTTGGCTCCATACAACATCTAACTCAAATCCCCAATCAACTATACTCTGTCCATGTTGCATGGGATTTGACCAGCATGAGACCATTTCTGATGTTCTCAGACATGGTATAGTAGGTTGTTAGATTAACCCAGCATGCTGTTTCTGGCATGAAGTTGAGAATAGTGTGGAGGTGCACCCGTTGCTCAAGGGCAGTGGTGAAATGTAAGATTTGTTACTACCGGTTCTGTGGGCGTGGCTTGGTGGTGAGGGGTGTTAATGTGACTGGGTGGGCATGGCCAACTTTTTTTTTTTTTTACTTTTAAAAGCATTTTTTCTACAACCTCTTTGGCAGAAGAGGTTACAGAAAAAAATGCTTTTAAAAGCCTCTGACGATCCCAACTGAGCCATGTGATCATCAGAGGCTTTTTTTTTAACGTTTAAAAGCATTTTTTCGGCCTAAGAGGTTGTAGAAAAAATGCTTTTAAAACTAAAAAAAAAAGCCTCTGATGATCGTGCGGCTCAGCTGGGCAAAAAAAAAAAAAAAAAAAAAAAAATTTGCTACCGGTTCTCCAAACCACCCGCCGCCATCGCTACCGGATCAGGCGATCCGGTCCGAACCGGGAGCATTTCACCCCTGCTCAAGGGACTTTGAATGTCCTCTAAACCAAGGGTCTCCAAACTTGGGAACTTTAAGACTTGTGGACTTTAACTCCCAGAATTCCCCAGCCAGCATGGGAGTTGACGTCCATAAGTCTTAAAGTTCTCAAGTTTGGACAAGCATTTTCTTTTTTACAGGATGATATGGGACACTCTGTCCAAGAGAAATGGACTTGATTGGATCTGGACTGCCAATGTACAAAGAAACTGAGTGTGTTGCATTAGCAACATTCCTTGGTTTCCGATGAAAATCATTTATTTTCCCCCCACTGAGAAATAACCTTTAAACAGACAAGGTTGGAGACCAAGGTTCTCCTTCACGCTCCTTCTCCCAAGGGAGAGCTTCTGGAATGATTGAGTTTCTGCCCTTAGTTGAAAACTGATGGTCATCATCATCTTTTAATGACCCCCCCATAATCCCTTGTGGGGTGGAGTCTGGGCAACTGAATGGAGCTAGTAAAGTGTTTTAATGGCCGGATGCCCTTCCTGTCGCCGATGAGGAATTTTTGTTCGGCAGATATATTCTCTTTTTTTTTCCAAAATATATTTATTTTTATTTCTCATAAACACATTTACATGTACAGTCATTTATCCATCATTTTTCATTCATCTTATCTTTTAACTTTCATTTTTCATTTTTACTTTTTTTACTTTTTTACTCCAACCTTTCTTCTTCTCCTCCCTTTCTTTTCCTTCCTCTTTCTCCTCCTCCTTTCTTCGTTCTTCCTCTCCTTCTCTTTCCTACTTCTTCTTCCCTTCCCCCACTCCTCTCTTCTTCCCCCCTTCTAACCTTCTCTTCTACTCCTCTTTCCCCTCCCTTTTCTTCCTCTCCTTTTTCCTTTCTTCTTTCTCCTCTCCTCTCTCGGCAGATAAATTCTCATTGTGCCCAGAGAGAGAAACATCTGCCTCTACCTAGGATCGAACTCACAGCCTCCTGATTGTGAGATGAGCGCTCCACCTCTAGGCCACCGCACCACTCCTAGTTGAAACCTGATGGTGATCTCTTTAAATTCCTCTTTCTCTTGGCCTAAATTGCATCTTATGCACCAACAGGCTCATTGGAACCTAACCAGATTTGCATTTCTCCCAGGGTGGCAATACAACCCTTGGCTCTTTGGTGGCCCAAGATAAACATTTAAATATGTGTTTTAGAAGTCGCTGGGTTTAATTAACATGGAAATGTGCAAATTAACATAAGGCTATGACCATCAGCCACAGTAAATGGGGACAGGCCATGCTTGTCTGACCATAAATGACAGTAATCTTTACAAAGGCTATTACTGTAGAATTTCCTTCGTTCTTCAGCGCAGCCCCCTGAGTAATGACATAGCCTCCCCTAGACCATATAAATCCATGACTGAAGCGCCTCAGTGTTTTGAAACCTGCAAGGCCCTGCAAAAGGCTTGGATCTTCATCATAGCAATGCGGACGACCATTTTTGGAATGGAATGCGGAAGAGCCGGGGTGGCACAGTGGTCACAGGGCAGTACTGCAGGCTACTTCTGCTGCCTGCCAGCCTGCCTGCAATTTGGCAGTTCCAATCCCACCAGGCTCAAGGTTGACTCAGCCTTCCATCCTTCCGAGGTGGGTAAAATGAGATTGTTGGGAGCAAGAGGCTGACTCTGTAAACCGCTTAGAGAGGGCTGGAAAGCACTGTGACGTGATATTGCCCTTTTCTCCTTCCTTCCTTCCTTCCTTCCTTCCTTCCTTCCTTCCTTCCTTCCTTCCTTCCTTCCCTCCCTCCCTCCCTCCCTCCCTCCTTCCGCACAGTGGTTAGAATGCAGCGTTGCAGGCTAATTCTGCATTTCCACTGCCAGGAGTTAGATCCCGACTGGCTCAAGGTTGACTCAGCTTTCCACTTCCTTCCTTCCTTCCTTCCTTCCTTCCTTCCTTCCTTCCTTCCTTCCTTCCTTCCTTCCTTCCTTCCTTCCTTTCTTCCTTCCTTCCTTCCTTCCTTCCCTCCCTCCCTCCCTCCCTCCCTTACGTTCCTTCCCTCCCTCCCTACTTAGCCCTCTCTAAGTGGTTTACAGAGTCAGCCTTTGCCCCCCAAAATCTGTCTCCTCATTTTACCGACCTCGGAAGGATGGATGGCTGAGTCAACCTTGAGCCAGTCAGGATCGAACTCCTGGCAACTGGCAGAATTAGCCTGCAATATTGCATTCTAACCACTGCGCCACCACAGCTCAGGTTACAAAATATCAGAGTTAGAAGGGCCCTTGGAGGTCTTCTAGTCCAACCTCCTGGCTCAAGCAGGAGACCTTATACCATTCTAGACAAGTCCAATCTCTACTTAAAACCCTCCAGGTATGGAGCAGCCACAACGTCTGAAGGCAAGCAAGTCATACCACCACTGATTAAAATGTTTACTGCAATTGCCTTGCAGAGAAGATAACTGTTAAGCCTTTTTTTGTCAGTCATTTTGCACAGAATACAAAGCGTTAAAATATGACAATAAGAGAGAAAATATTTTAGCAGATATTGCTTGCCTGGGAAAAAAAATGCAGCCATAAAATTGCTTAATAGGAAAAAAAATATACAGCGGCTGATTTAATTTAATATAATTTTGACCAGAAGCAAACAGGCTGTGAAAAACATCAACTACTTTAGCTGCTATATACTACATAGTTCTGCCTGAGTTTATCATCTGTGATAGAGATTTTAAGGCATTTTAGTTGGTAGAACAGTCTTCTGCTACCTT